CCCCAAAACCCCAAAACCCCAAAACCCCGCTTTGCAAAAGTTCGCATTTTTAGTAGAATTTAAATTACATTAAAATTATTATTAGATTTAGAATTATAGTTAAGCGAGATTTAATTTTTCTATAAAATACTTTCCTCAGACAAATGGGAGCTTGTTCATCTAAAAAAAGCAGTAATTTCATTTATAACTCGTTTTATTTGCCAAGTTTATACGAATGCATCGATTGATATTTATCCTAAGTTAAGAAAATAAATACCCACTGAAGGCTCAACTGATAGGCTTAATGATAACATGTAAAATGAATAAGTCAATAGATAATCAAATATTAATGAAGAAGTAAATGACCCATTCAAGGACCATTAAAGTCATTACTTGAATAATGCAGAAAATAACTCTGAATTTGTAAATAAACTCACTTCTTAATATTCAACAAATCTATAGGATAAAACTGGAGGTGAATTTAAGAACATTGATGGTGATTCACTAATGCAACTAGGATTAAGGAGCAAATAAATGAAATAAGTTGGAAGTTTAGAAGATTGGAATAATCATACTATTGATGACCAACTCAGAAATTATAAACTTGGAATAAATACCACAAAGAATAATATTATTATAAACATCAAGGAAAACGAGCAAGAGAAGTAGTTGCCGAAGAGAAATAAAAACACATCTGACATGTATCTAAGCAAAACCGAAAAAAAGCAAATAAATCAAGCAAGGATTAGCTCTGGACTCGGGGGAATAAGTTACGATCTCGAAAATCTGGTTAGAGATTAAAATTATCTGTCCATTCCCAACAACTTTAAAAATAAAGTAGGAGTAGCATTTGCAACAACTGAAGCTAATATAATGATGGATGCTGGTCTTTCTGGGATCTATAACATGGGAAACACATGTTTCTTGAGCACAGGTTAGTACATCATTAAAATTTTACTACTCTAAATCTAATTTTATTCAATCCTTATATCATTTTGAATCAATATATTAGAAGTTCAAACTTAATAATAAACTATATATAGCAATTTAATGCTTATGTGCTGTGTAACCGCTTACTGATTTTTTTCTCGGGGATCTTCATGAATAGTCAATAAATAAAACTAATCCAATGGGATCACTGGGAGAGGTTTCTTTTTAATATGCAAATCTACTTAAAGATATTTGGAAAGGAAAGGAGGATAAAATTTATCCAATGAAAATTCTAAAAAAACTTCATGAACTTGCACCACATGTATTTAGTATTACTTAAAAATTACTATTTTAGTTAGTTAGTGGGCAATAGTAAGATGCTCAGGAATTTCTTGCATATTTACTTGATATATTGCATGAAGATCTTAATAGAGCTGATAAATTCAATAACCTAAAGAAATAAAGAGAAGAGCTAGATCTTAAGAAGTCATTGGCTCTTACTTAATAGGAATCTGAGTATTAAGAGAATTTTGCTGAATATACAGATGAGTAATAAGAATTGATAGCTTATGATGCTTGGAAAGAGCATTTGTTCAATAATAGATCAATTATTGTAGATCTTTTTCAGGGTCAACTGAAATCCGCATTAAGATGCTTGAACTGTGGTCATACTTCCATTAAATTTGATAGTTTTATGTACTTATCAATTCCAATTCCAGCTTAATTCTAAAATAAACATCCGACTCTTGAAGAATGTGTTGAGGAATTTACAAAGGAAGAAATATTAGATGGTGAAAATAAATGGAAATGCTTGAAATGCAAGAGTTTTTAGAGAGCTACTAAAAAGATAGATATATGGAAGCTACCTTCTATATTGATAGTCCATCTAAAACGTTTTGAGTTTAGTGAAAGAAAAAGAGGCAAAATCAATGATTTCGTTGATTTTCCTCTTGATAATCTAGATTTAACTCCTTATGTCTCTAAACTTTAAAGAGAAAAACCTATATATGATCTATTTGCTGTTTCAGTAATTCATCACCTGTTTTTTTAATTATATAATAGAATCATGAAGGATATCTTGGAGGAGGGCATTACTATGCCTATACAAAGCACAGGAAAAATCATATGTGGTACTAATTTGATGATGATATGGTTAAACACATGCCAGATGAAGAGAATGTAGTTACTCCTGCAGCTTATATTCTCTTCTACTCAAAAATGACTGTAGATGAGTTTGCAAGGTAGACATTAAGTGAACCTGGCCTATGGCCGCATTTGATATTCTCTGAAAAAACAAAACTTAATAGCATAAATGGTGCCAGACGAATTCCAAATGTTAATTATTAAAGTCCAAAATCGATATTCGATGTTCCAATTTATAAGCCTTCTCCCAATCTTTTGGACTTAAAGCTTAAGAATAATTAAATGAAAGTTAGTGGACATGGACTAGGAAAAATTGGAAGCTCCCTAATTTAAAGGAATACAATGGGCCTGTAAATGGATTCTTCTGCGGAATATAAGGACAGAAATGGCATTATTTCATAATCAGGACAAAAATCTATTTTCACTCCTTAGAGATAATCTCATAATGGATATTTCAAGACCAATACTTAGGATAATTTGAATACTATTGATCCCAATATTCTATCTTCGAGAGGCATTCCTCCTAGTTCAAGTATTATTGAAGGAAAAAGTGATTACTCAGCTTAAAGCAAAAGAGCATATGGATATAGCTAGATTACTTAGCAAAAGGCTACAGGAAAGATGATAATGGAAAACAGCGGAAATAAATAGATAGTCATAAACAACAATAATAATAACTACTATATTAATTTATACATGAGAGGTGATGGCTAGTATTGAGTAACAAACTAATAAGTAGACTGAGATCTTTTTAACTGATATATCATATAAGTTAACAATCTAACTTAAATTAAATTGAATAGTATTATTGTAAAATCATAAACTTTAATTATTTCTCAATCTTTCTTCTATTAGTTTAGCGGGGTTTTGGGGTTTTGGGGTTTTGGGG